TATACTCCTGTTTAGTAGAGATTTCTATACTTTCTTGGAAACCACTGTGGTTATTTCATGGTTACTAAGACAAAGAAAGTACACAAAAGTATAATAAATTTTACCCCCAGAAATGTGTCTTATTGAGTGCCAAAATACTTTCTTTTTACTAACCCTTGCTAGAAACATTTCAGTGTCTTGCACCAGAAGTTTCAGAGAAATGGTTATAAACTTTGACCTGCTTTTTCAGAGAACATGTACACATATTCTGACTGGTTCTTCATTCACTCAAAAGAACGGGTATCTCGGGACACTTGAAATAGAAATACTTTATAACATTTTTATTTCCATAGTTAAGGGATGTACCACCACATGTACCTACTATAACTTTGTGCCAGATGAAAATGAGCAGACACAGCCAACTTCTGCACACTTCCTTCAGATACAAACAGGCACTTACAAAGATATTTTTCACAATGTTTTTTTTCTTTGTCCCAATGCTCCACTGCAAAACCTTCTATTGTTTCACGCCTTACATGCAGAGGATACATTTTTTTCCTAAAGATTTCCAACAAAAATAACTCTCCAGTGATATGTATCAGATTTTACATTCTCCTGCTTGACGAATACACAAAGCATACCTCTGCATATACTAGACTGTCACAGGGGGCAAGTTCAACGTCCACGATCTTATTATCAGAATCATTAATTTTTCAGAGCAGAGCTTTGACAATAATGCAGACACTAATAACATCATAAGTATCACGCAAGTAAAATTCTGCTGAGAATAATCAAAAGACAGCTACCACAGGAGAACACTTTGGGGAGTTGTCTGAAACTCCAGATGGATTCAGAGGAGGCCATGGACTGAGGGGTATCACTGACCACGTCAGATGGATGTTTGGCTGAAAGCACAGAATACCAGAAAGATGTTTACTTGTACTCACTGACTATGCAAAGGAATTCAATTATGTGGATCATAACAAACTATGGGTAAAATTACGAATTAAGAAAATTTCGGAAAACTTAATTGTGCCCATAGAGAACCTACTGAGTGGGTTAATTCAGGAAAGGTGTATCCTTTGATCACACTTATTCAATCTGTATGCTGAGCAGATCATCAGAGAAGCTGGATTGTCTGAAGAATGCAGTATATCAGGATTATCAGAATTTCAGGATTAAAATAATAAAGGCTCGTTAGACACCTGCAGATGACACAACCTTGCCTTGAAGCATTTACTGATGAAGACCATAGACTTTACTTCAACACAAAGACAACAAAACGCACCCAAATGGGATCAATAAGCAATATTACAACAACAGAGAAAAGACTGACATTGTCAAGGATTTGATTTTACCTGGACCCACAATCCATGGAAGCAGCAGTTAAGAAATCCAAAGAAATACTGCATTGCGAAAATCTGTATCAAAAGACTTAATGTGTTAAAAGAATAAAGATGTCACTTTGAGGAGTAAGGTGTGCCTGATTCAAGTTATGGTAGTTTCAATTACCTCATATACATTAAATAACATTACAGACATCATGGTCTACTGTTAAGAATGAACACATCTGTCTTGGAATGTTTCTTGGAGACGAGGATAGTGATAGACATTTTGGACATGTTACCAGGAAGAAACAGTCCTTGTTAAGTGGAGGGTCAGTGAAAAAGAGATGAGATGGATCAGCACAGTGGCCACCACAGTGGGCTCAGACATCGGAGCTACGGTGAGGACTGCCAGGACCAGGCAGTGTACACAGAGCTACTATGAGCTGGAACCATCGCAAAGGCACCTAACAACTGAAGAAAATGATTCATGTTCCGTAAATGTGATGTATGTGTCATTTATAGTCGTACAGAGCCCTCAAAAAGGTAATATAACAGCTTGTGCTTCGTAACAATTTAAAATGAGAACACAGACAATGAAGATACAAGAGACGAAATGAAACCCTGAAGTTCCAAGGAAAGATTAGAGACTTGGACTGATGTCTGCTGGGAGGAGAAGGTGAGCAGATACAGCAAGAGCGGGAGTCAGACTAGTGAACGGCCAGCCAGACATGTCACGACCATTTTGGGAGCAGTTTTGGCAACAAGGTGGCCTGACAGACAAACTCACACACAAGACGTGAAAGGCATGATTCCTACTTCCCCATGCTCTCCTGGCTACCAGAGGTAGGGTCACCTCCCTCATCTATTCCCAGCTCAGATCCTGCTCTCCAGAATCCAGAGCCACTCCAGTGTGAGGCAGGGACCAGCTGTTGCTACTTTGGTCCCCGGATTGAGGTGCACTTGACTCCAGACCTACAGAACCCACAGTGCTACCAGACCAACATTTAACCAGTCACCCTGCTCCCTCTGCAGCTTCACCCACTGGGCAAGAGATAGTACCAGCTCCTAAACCACCTGATCCATAATAGACAGCAGCCAACACCAGTAAAACTCACCCTAAACTAAGGTACACGAATGGTGAAAACAGTGTACACGCTTCCATTCTTTACCTACATCCACAGGAGACAGTTGGTGAGAGCCTGTGAACACACCAACATACAATCATCAATGAAATACAAATACAACAACCACACAATGACCAGAAAAAAACAGACAATTTTAGCTCACATGAAGAAATGAGAGAAGATGTTTCAAACAAAAGATCAATATGCAGAGCCTGAAAATGTTTCTGAGGAAGAAAAGGTAATAGAACTAACTGAAAAAGAATTCAAAAGAGTGATAGTTAGGTACCCTCAAAGGACTGATAGAAAGATCAAGGAAAACAAGAAGAACACTATAAAAACTTTAGAAGACCTCAGGAAAACATTACAAGAAAAAACAAATACAAATTTTAAAACAATACAAAACCTATAATTAGAAATCCAAAAGATTAATACTAAGATCTCAGAAATGGACAATACATTGAAAAGGTACCGAAGGAGATGGAAGCAATGGAAGCCCAAAGTAGTGAGCTTGAAGAGAAATCTCTCAATATTAGTATGCTAGAAGAACTATCTGAAAAAAGAATTGAAAAACCCAAAGAAAGTCTGAGTTATGTGGGACGTTATGAAAAAGTACATTATATGGGTGACTAGAATTCCAAACAGGAAGAGACAATAAAAAGCAGAGAGAAAACTGTCGAGTTGTTGAAAGCAAACGTCCCTAACATCATGAAACTAGAACTTAACCATTTAAGAAGCTGAATGAACCCCAAACAGGGCAGACTCCAAAAGAAAATCACCAAGACATATCATAATCAAACTCTCCAAAACCAAAGACAAGGAAAAAAGTTCTGAGAGCAGCTTGGGAACAAATGCTAACGTTATGAGAACCAGTAAGACTTAGCTAGGACTTTTCAGCAGAAACCATGCAGATAAGAAGGTAATGGGATGATATACATAAAACTTTTTTAAAAGTAAAAAAAAAAAAAAAATGTCAACCAAGAATCACATACCCAGAAAAGCTCTCTCTAAAGTACAATGATGAAATTAAGATGTTTCCTGATAGAAAGAAATTAGAGGAACTTGTAATAACAAGACCAACTTGACAAAAAATGCTAAACGGTGTCCTTTGGACCCAGACATGACGATACCAGATTATGAGAATATGGTACACGCCAACACCACCCATAACTCAATAGTGGTATGTTGCTGTGTTGAGTGCCCTTGGGTGGCTCTGATGCATGGAAACCCTGTCAAGACTTTAAATATTCAAAGCAGCAAAAACAGCCTCGTTGTACTCTGGATTGGTTTGTAGGCTCAATCCATGGATCTTGCGGTTTGCAGTCTAGTACTTATTGTATAGAAGTATTAAAACTAAAACAAACCAACAAGACTGAAAATAGGGAACCACAGATATTAATTTATAATGACGTCAACTCCAAAGCATAAAGAGAGAATAGTGTAGGTATAGAACTTCCAAAAGGCAAGAAGTCAAGTAGATTTTAAGATAAAATAGACTGCTTTAAGTAGGGAAAATTATTAATTGAAGGGGAACCTCAAAGAAAGTTAATACACCTGCACATCAAAATAAAAAAAGGAAATCAGAAAGACTTAGTAAGCATTAACACAACAGAATTAAAAATGTGAAGAACACTCACAAACAAAATGAACTCAGTGCAGAAAATGATGTGGAACAAAGCGAGCAGCAGGACCACATAAAAAGCACACAGTAGAACCAGAGCAATCAATGCATACCTATTAATAATTACACTAAGTGTAAACTGATGAAATGTACCAGTCAAAAGACACAGAGAGCAGAATGGATAAGAAAACAGTTCTTCAATATGTTGTCTACAAGAGACACATCAAAAAGATGGAAAAAGTCTAAATGCCCCTTAACAGAAGAATGGTTAAACAAATGTTGGTACATAAACACAACAGAATGCTGTTGAAGAACAATGATCAATCTGTGAAACACCTCACATGGATGAACCTGGAGGACATTAAACTAAGTGAAATTAGTCAATCACAAAAAGGATAAACATTGTATGAGCCCAACGGAAAAAGATACAAAAAGGTTTTGTTGATAAAAGAAACAATCTGTGAAGGTTACTGTGTGTGTGTGTGTGTGTGTGTGTGTGTGTGTGTGTGAATGGAGGGAAAATTATTCATGGACTGGAGGGGAGAGACTTAGGCGGCAGGGCAGGAATACACAGAAAGAGGGAGGATCAAAGGAAAGGGGAGACAGAGGGAGGAACGCAATGTAAAAGTGAATAGAGTTAAATACTGTTAACTGTTGATACATGGAAGGTATTGCAATCATTGTAATGAAGCAAAGTATATGATTTTTTTTAATGTAAAGTAGATGATCTGCTCTGTAAACCTATATTCAATTCACAATAAAAGGTTAAGAAAAATGGGAGGGGAACATGGAGAAAAGGCAGACTAATGGTGATGGGAAAATCACACTGATTAAAGGTGGGAATTGCTATCAGTAAGGTGAATATCAGTAACAAGTAGAATTAGCATTAGTTGGTATATTTATAAAAATGGTTGAAAGCAAGAAAGGAAAGAAGATAAAATTAAAACATACCAGAATGTAGCAACCAAGCAAGATGCTTTGGGCCTGGACTCTGGTGATAGGATATTGATTGTACCAGCATTCCAGCTCCAATCATGGCTGCAAAGGTTGCACCCATAGTCTGAAAGACACATATTATGAAAAAATGATCTTTATACAAGAAAAAAATAGAAACTGAGAAATTCTAAGTACAGTCAGTTACTTTAATAAACCATTAAAAAACCCAAACAGATTAAGGACAATAAATTAAATCCTGTATCCTTTTATAAATCTGAAGTTAGCAAAAGAATCCCCTACTGTAATATAAAAAAGTTTTAGGTAACTTCAAGTACATCTGTTCAGTACACAGTATCTTTTTATAACTTGTTGGATTTTGTTGTTGTTGTTAAGTGCCGTCGAGTCGGTTCCGACCCATAGCGACCCTGTACAGGGTTTCCGAGGGTGTTGGATAGAGGTATAATAAAACCCCTTTAAAGGGTCCCCCAAATAACTATTTTTAATTAAAGTATTTCAGTAAAGCACAAATAGCATTTTCTTGAAAACCAATCAAGGTCTACTAATGAGAGGAAATATACATATGTGTAAAGACAAAGAGCTCTGGATGCTTAGCGGTAACGAATCAGGCTGTGAATCCTCAAGGTTAAGCAGTTCGAAAGTACCAGCTGTTCCGTGGGAGATAGACAGCCTCAGAAACCCTGTACAGGGTCACTATTATGAGTCGGAACGCGACTCACGGCACATAACCACCAAAGAGAAAGAATGATGAGGCCCTGATGGCACAATGGGTTAAGTGCCCTGCTATAAATATAAAGGTTGGTGGTTCGAATCCAGCAGTGGTTCCATAAGAGAAAAGAACCGGTGATTTGCTCCTGTAATGGTTAAGAGTAGTAATTTGAGTTACCTGCCCTATAGGGTTGCTATGAGTTGAAATTAACTCAACAAGAGAGTGAGCGTGGGTGGCACACATGCACCACCCAGCGCCTTAAACTCTATCTGCTAAATGAGAAGCTGAAAAATACAAGGTAAATATCACTTAGAGCTTATGGAAAAGATATGAAATAAGATTCTATATTTCTATCCTTTTAGCCTTATGGTTGACTTGGTCCTTGTTCCTTTGCTTTGCTGGGTTTATTATTTTCATTGTCAAAACATCTAAATATGACTTTAATACTTCAGAAAGATGTAATTATAATGGATCTTCAGAAAATTCCTATTTGTTATAACCACAGGCTTTACTTCAGGGCCTTTGTGACCTAGTCTGTTTTTGTTTTCTACCCTTCCGTGCAGTTTGGGTGCTGTTGTCGTTGTTGTTGTTAGGTGCCATCGAGTCAGAACTGACTCACAGCTACTCTATGCACAGCAGAACGAAACAATGTCCGATCCTGGGCCAACCTCACTACCGCTGCCACCCTTGACGCCATCGATGCTGCCACCTGGCTGATCCATCTCATTGGGGGTCTTCCTCTTTTTCTCTGACCCTCCATCTTACCCAGCATGACATCCTTCTCCGACAACTGTTCCCTCCTGACAATGTGTCTAAAGTATGAGAGACGAAGTTTAGCCATGTTGGCCTCCAAGGAGCACTCTGGCTGCACTTCTTTCTAAACAGAGCTATTGGTTCTTTTAGCAGTCCATGGCACTTTTAGTACTCTCCTCTTGGTGTAGTGCTACAGTATAAGCACTGGACCATAAGGTCGATTTGAACTGCAATGTCGGCAGTTCAAAACTTATCAGCTGCTCCCTGGAAGCTCTATACAGGGTCACTGTGAGTTGGAACCAACTTGACAACACTTAACAACATACTCTGCATACAGAAAGAAGCTCTGGTAGCGTAGTGGTTACCAATCGGGCTGCTAATCTCACGGTCAGCAGTTAGAAACGACCAGCTGTTCCTCAAGAGAAAGATGAGGCTTCCTGCTCCTGTAAAGATTTACAGCCTTGGAAATCCTGTACAGGGTTGCTGTGGGTCGGAACCGACTCTAAGACACATAACAACAACAACATACAGAACTAGTGCAGCCACAAACAAGTCCAACAGTTCTACGGTGCCTAGGAATGTACCTCCTTCCTGTCTGATGTCTGCCACGTCACTTTGTCTCAGATGTGTCTTATGGTAATTATCTTGGCTGCCCACAAGCAGTGACAGATAGCCCTCTTCCAAAAGCACATGGGACAAACCTCTTTGACATTACCTGTGTATATGTCTGTCGCCCCTAAAAGAGTATACTGTATCTCTATAGCACCTGTGTTTGCCTTTCCATACGATTTTACTGAAGTATTCCTAACAGCAGAGGGGCATGATCTTATGCCCTGAGGGTACCACCCAAGCAAAAAACTTATTTGAAGTGTTATTTTAAGAGTTAAGTAGTTTGTATACTTTAATCTTTCATAACGTAACCATGTCTATTTTATTACAAAAAATTATTTTAACTTATTTACCTCTAAGTACAACTGATTTCTGGTGAGAATGCATTAAACTTATTTTGCAGCTTCTTTTTTTTTCCTTTTATTGTGTGATAGTTTACATGGGGGAACATTAGCTTTACACTCATTCTATCATACATCGTTTCACTGCCATAGTTACCATCCCATCTATGCATCATCACCCAACAAAAGGTTATACCCTGCAGGCCACCCTCCACCACTCCCCACGATTTTGCAGCTTCCTGAACCTCTGAACTAGGAGGTCCATTAGCAACCAACTGAGAAGTATAATCCTAAAAATACAGACGTGCCCAAATGGTTAGACTACTACAGCTAGTTCGTTTGTAAAGTACAGCAGAGTGAAAGCTACTAGAATTTGGAAGTTAGATGAATTTGAGTTATCTGTGGGGAGAAACTCAATATATGAACTCTCCCATCTCTCCTACCTCCAAATGCACACTTACTGCTCCAGTTCAGGCTCCTATCATGCCTCTCTCCAGATTTTTAAAAGCACAGCAAGTCCCTGTTTCAGTGGCCTCCACTGCACACGCACTCTCCCCAGACAGTTAACTTCTTCATACTCCAGCTATCAAACACAAACTTCACCTTAGCAGGACTGCAAGCCAATTTTAAAACTAGGGTTTCCTACTTCCTCTGCTTTGCTCAAGCTATTTTTAAAATGCATACTGACCTTGAACTTTCCTAGAATAAAAAGTGCCTGCCTCTGATGACCCCAATGAAACAAGTGTTCCCTTCTTTAATGCATCTTCCTCCCCAGTAGTCCAACTGATACGCACTTTCTACTTGTTAGTACACATCCTTTATCACTGACTCCAGATCCATCTCTCCCACCAGACAACAGAAAAACAGGCCCCACATCTGACATCATTTTTGGTACTTACCAAAGTAAGGACTTAAGAAATACAGCACTAGTCATTCTTAAAAAGTGCAGAATGCTTAGGGTTTTGTAGCTGCTCTTTTCCACTGACCTCCAAGATGTTTTTTGCATTTGTCTTATTTTCAGTAAATTACTATGAAACAGAAGCTGTTTCGTATCTGCTGCTTCACAAGTTATGTCCCTGTAAATTTGATTTCCAACCCCTTTGGTTCCATGAAAATATATATTCAACACAGAATATGTGACATACCTCTGAATTTACTTCTTACTTTGTCTCAGCAGTTGCACTGAAATGCATATTTTATGCTAACAAAAAAATTTTCAATTTATTAAAGTATTCTTTCCATTTAATGCCCTGGCCCTCAATGTTCCGTTTTACTTTTGGAACTTTAGAAGGAAAAGGAAAACAAAAAAAAAAGGCTGACTTACCACCCAAGAGCCTCTCATCATAAAATTCATGAGAGCAGGAGTTCTAGTCACTGCCAAGGCAGACAAAGCTGTTAAACCAATACTTCCTGCTAGGTACATATAAGTAGACCGAATTCTATCTTTCACATACTGGGGCCAAATTCTGAAAGAAATACAACATGGTTAGAACAACGTGTATTCCATTTGAATCATTTACTAGTTGGTTAACCTTGAGATAAATTACTTCATTGCTTGAAATATTATTCATCTATCTTAAAACGAATTATATATCCCTTGGAGGTACTATAAAAGCGCAATGCAATAAAGCATGTAACCGTTTGGCATAACCAAAAACAGCACACTATTTCCTTGTTTAAGTATACAACTATGATAAAAACATCTTTACTTAGGTTTGAGTAAATATATGCCCAAACAGATGAAGTGATGCATTCGTTCACAGTTGGGACTAGACACAAAATATTACACAAGTAGCTAAAGGTAAGGATGAGAATAAGAACGGAACCCTCAAGGCATGAATGTTTGGAAACAATTTACTCACACAGCCTTTTCAATGGCTCCAATGTCATTAGACATTCCCAAGCCGTAGTAGCATAAAGCTCCAAGACCAACAGCAGCCCCGCCAGCAACAAACCATCTTCCCATCTGATCAACTGCAGAACACAGAAGGAAATAACAGGTTAATACTGTCAGGTCTTGACTAAATTAAAATGCTGGTGGCAAGTCTGTCACAACATTTATGTAAGGAGAATTATACCACCTACTATACTTAATAAGTCACACTTAGTATGTATGTTGTTGTTGTTGTTAAGTGCCATCAAGTTGGTGCCAACCCATAGCGACCCTGTATAGAATTTCTGAGAAGTAGCTGGTAAGCTTAAACTGCCGACCTTGCAGTTCAAATGGCTTAGCAGTCTGGAGCATTAACCCACAGCGCCACACCAGGACTCCATTTAGTATGTATGGGAATATAGAAATGCCCTCAAAATTAGAGGTCCAGCAGAAAAGGATACCCCTAAAACAAAAGTGTAATAAAAAAAGGATCAGATAGAACTGATGAACCTTCAACGTCATTCTAACAAGAGATTTGTGATGGCAGTGCATGTGTAGCTGTGAATACTTTTGCAATATTATCTTGTTTTATTAATAACAGGCTAAGACAGATGAGATGACAACAGTTAACAGGCAGGCCTCACTGTGTCTACAGTGTTATTAACAATGATGCTCTGTCTAGTCAAGAAAAAGGGGAGCCAAAAAACAACAATGTACTTAGTGCTTATGCAGCAAAATCAAAGGAGATGCTAGTAATGAGAAAGAGACATTTAATTTGCCAAGTCTAATTTGATGAAACCATTCAAATAGAGTATCAATTACTACCAGTAATCCTGGGGTGGCACTGTGGGTTAATGCACTGGACTGCAATGTTATTTGAACCACATGGTCAGTGGTTCAAGCTCACCAGCCGCTCCTTGGAAACCCTATACAAGGTTGCTATGAATCAGAACTGATTCAGTGGCACTGAACAACAATTCCCTTTAGTCACTATGCTATCATAATATAATGCATATAATTTGGTCTCTGGAGTCTACGAATTCTCAGGAAATATCCAGAGGGATACTGACTAGAACTCTGGCAAGATTAAAGAGCAGTGTTCTTTAACTTTGTGAAAGTCCTAACTGACATAACTGAAATCCGCATTGTGAGCCAAACTGACTTGATGAAAGTGTCGTCTCCTAATCCTATATGGAGAGCTAGTTAGAAGCCTCTTCTCCAACAGCTAGGCTTTTAAGAGCTATGTTTTGGTGAGTTACTCATGACCTGCAACATATAAGTACTCCCACTCATTTACTGACATTGTTAGGTTCCAAAATCCAGGTCGCTATGTAACAATTGGTGGTAGGCCAAAATGGGAGGATTTTTTGTTTAATTTTCACACCATCCAATTATCTGGTTGTTTTAAATTTAGAAAATATGATCATAAAAATAATAGCCAAGATTTACTGATGTGCTCATCACTATAATGAACAGTTATGGGTTATTCCTCTGTAGAGGTGGTTTGAAGGAGACAAAGTTGTACCAAACAAGACTACATACGACTGGAGCTGATCCAGGGCTCCACTCCCACACCTGTAAACCTCGATCCCTGAGCCTGCTGTGTCCCCTGGGCCACACCTGCAAACCCCGATCCCAGAGCCTGCTCTGTCCCCTGGGCCTGCTAAGTCACTGATGCTGGGGACAACCTACAAAGGTGTGGGAGCCTGACCCAGCACCCGGCTCCACTAACGTGGAGGTTCCAGGCCTAGCTGGGCGCACTTGGGGATGCAGTTAAACTCATACTCATTGCTCTCATGCCTATCTTCCCCCAGCCCACCTTACAGTTTTGAGCTGCTGAGCCTCAGGTGCATAAGAGCTGGGAACCCAGAACATGTACCTGTCGACAGGGCAGGCCAGCTTCCCAGAGAGTGCTTAGAGACTGTCCTCAGGAGGGGACACGCGGCAGACCTTGCCACCATGCCTGCACACTGCTAATGCACCAAGTCCTCAGGTATTTTACTATTGTTACAGATGCAAAATGTCGAGTAATGAGAATCCAGAACAAAGGAGTAGGTGTATTAAATTATGCTTAAATAAAGATTCTATACAACTTCAAACAAACTGCATCAGAGTCAACAGTGAATGTAACATTTTTACTGGAAGAACTATGACTTGGAACCACTGAACCATTTGTAGAAATTAATGTTTTAAGAATCATCTGACCCCTGAAAGTGATGAGAATTATGCTTTTATTTCTAGAAAATGCATATACGAAGGAGTCTCAAAAAGTTTGTGGAAAAATGATCTTTTACCTCCATTTTTTTCCATGAACTTTTTGAAGCCCCATCATGTGTACAACTTTGTGTATATTTTTAGAAGGCTATTCATGGACTTCTTAATAAATACTGCCACCTACTTTTAAAGATTTTTTCCACTGATGGTTCCAATGCTGCTTCTCTGAGTTCCTGGCCAGTCTTCCCCCGCCGGATCCCAATTCTTGTCTTGGTGGCATATTCCTGACATATAAGCAAAGACACATGTCACCCACATTAAAACAGACTGTTAAGAATAAAATAAAACCTAGGCTTCATTTCATCAGAATACTACTTAAAGAAATCTGACACTTTCTACATATTTAATTTTACTTTAAAAGTTTGTTAGCCAATTCACAAAATTAACTGTAAAACCTTGACCTTTGCTCCACTCAGAAATGATCAATTGACTTTGCAGGCCTTACACGGCCCACCAGGAATCCTGATGCGGCACTGGACAGCAATGTTGTTTCAAATGCATGGTTGGTGGGTGGTTCAAGCTCACCAGCCTCTCCTCAGAAACCCTATATAGGGTCACTACGGGTTGGAAATGACTCGACAGCACTTAACAACAACCCTTGCTCTAAGATAAGCACTGGATTGCTAATCACAAGGTTTGCGCTTCAAATCCATCAGCTGCTCCTCAGAAACTCTACAGGTTCGCTATGATTTGGAATAAAAGCATTTAACAACAACAACAGACATGCACTTAAGGAGGCCACTCATCAACAACACAGAATACAGGACCAAGCAGGTTCAGGGGATGGTGCTAGAACTCTGAACCACATATAAAGGAATATTTAGAAACTTGGAAGGCTTACAGCTAGGGAAATTTGTAGCAGAATCAAGAAATCCAGTGCTTTCTAATATAACACACTCAGCTGCTCCTGGAGCCGCCATCTTGGGAAAGACCCCACGAACCCGATGGAACCATGGAGATATAGGTGTGGACATTCTTTTTTGGGTATCTGTTCATTGGTCTCTTGCTGTCTGGACACCTCCATTCTGGTGACTAGCGGAGGTGCCTGAGCGAATAGACATCCCACCCCCACCCCTAGAAGGTTCTATTACACATGCACACAGATCTCCTCGAAATGTAAAGTGATAGTTTCCACTTAAAACCAAATGGCTACCACTTGTCTGTCAGTTTCTCATAATGTGATGGCTTGTGAGTTGCTGTGATTCTGAAAGCTATGCCACCGGTATTTTAAATACCAACAGGGTCACCCATGGTGGACAGGTTTCAGATGAGCTTCCAGACAAAGACAGACTAGGAAGAAAAAGCGATGAACTACTCCTGAATATTTAGTCACTGACAACCTTATGAGTAGTAGAGAAACACTGTCAGATGTAGAGCCGGGAAATGAGTCCCTCAGGTTGGAAGGCACTCAAAATGCGACTGGGGAAGAGCTGCCTCCTCAAAGTAGAGCTGACTGTGACTACGCGAATGGAGTAAAGCCTGTGGGAG